AGGGAAGCTGGATTCGATTCACGACATTTCATTTCATGTATTTATTTTATTTATTTATTTAAGCTATTTAATCGCGGCGACACGCTTAACGACCTTGGCAAAAAAGAGTCGTAAAACGGGGTGCGATTCAGCTTAACAACTAACCTCGGCTTAGCAACCCGAAAGCAATATTTTTTTTTTTCCCTAACGTGGCCACTTTAAGACCAGTGGACTTCAACTCCCAGAATTCCCCAGCCAGCGCATGCTGGCTTGGGAATTCTGGGAGTTGAAGTCCACTGGTCTTAAAGTGGCCCCAGTTGGATTCCCCTGCCTCAGGTGGGGTCCACCAGAATCCTTCAGCGCGACTCACCTGTCATTCGATGAGAAGTCCACGCCCAGGACGATGCTCTCCTCCGTGTCCTGCCGGCCATTCGTCGAGACCACCACCATGTAACGGGTGCGGTTTTGATAGCTGCTCTCCAGCCTCACCGCCTAGGAAGGAAACCCAAGAGAGAGACCCCTTTAAAATAACGGAATCACAGAGTGGGAAGGTACCTTGGAGGTCATCTAGTCCAACCCTCTGTTTAAGCAGGAGACCCGCCGAGCTCGAAGAGCACCAAGAACCCCCACAATCCTCCACCCTCCTCTTCCCACTAACTCCCCTCTGTTCTAGCACTGATGATGGTCTCTAGTTGGGTCATGAAACGTCTGCAAGGAAACCACCCAGCTCAGAGACCACCAAGGACCTAACTATCTTCTTCCTCTTCCTCTTCCCCTTCCTTCCTTCACTAATGATGTTCACTAGTTGGGTCATGAAACATCTGCCAGAAAACCACCCAGCTCAGAGACCACCAAGGACCTAACTATCTTCTTCCTCTTCCTCTTCCTCTTCCTCTTCCCCTTCCTTCCTTCCTTCCTTCCTTCCTTCCTTCCTTCCTTCCTTCCTTCCTTCCTTCCTTCCTTCCTTCCTTCCTTCCAGCACTGATGATGTTCTCTAGTTGGGTCATGAAACATCTGCCAGAAAACCACCCAGCTCAGAGACCACCAAGGACTTAACTATCTTCTTCCTCTTCCTTTCCTTTCCTTTCCTTTCCTTTCCTTTCCTTTCCTTTCCTTTCCTTTCCTTTCCTTTCCTTTCCTTTCCTTTCCTTTCCTTCCTTCCTTCCTTCCTCCCTCCCTCCCTCCCTTCTAGCACTGATGATGTTACCTAGATAGGTCATGAAATGTCTACCAGAAAACAATCAAGCTCAGAGAGCACCACGGACCCCACAATCTTCCTCCTCCCCCTCCTCCCTTCTGCGCTGATGATGTTCCCTACTCAGGCAATGCAACGTCTGCAAGAAAACCACCCAGCTCAGAGACCACCAAGGACCCCACAATCTTCCTCCTCCTCCTCCTCCTCCTCCCTTCTGTTCTGATGACGTTCCCTAGTCAGGCAATGCAACGTCTGCAAGAAAACCACCCAGTTTAGCACCAAGGACCCCACCATTTAACCCTGAGCTCCAAATATTCTCCTTTTACCGACGCCCAAAATAGCTTGACAGACTCACTGTGGTGGTTGCCCAGCTTCAAACGAGAACTGCCCCAGCGCAGGGAAGGCTCTAGGTACATATACAGACACGCATCGGGGATCCCTCCACCCCGGATGCCACCGCCACGGCAGCATTGACGCAACGGGCACGAAAAAAAAGGGGCAAGTGAAAGAGTGCAAGTCACTTCCAAGAAGCCGAGAGGAAGTCCAGCGCAAGCTGCCCGTGTGGCAAAGGATACCATAGGAAGGAAGTCGGAGCAGATGCTGGCTCTGCCCCCCACCCCACCCCGTGCCAGTGGGGCGTCTCCCTTGAGGGTGGCACCTGGCAAAGCTTGGCTTCAACCCCAATTAGGCTGAACCCCACAATTAGGGCCACCTTACCGCCTTTTTCTCAGCCTAGAAGTCACAGGCAGACGTCAAAGTCGCCGCATGTCCTACCATGCGGTTGCCCACCCTGGCTGCCAGCTCGATTTCATCCACAGGAACTCCTCGACTTGCCACCAAAAACGAGCCCCAAATTGCCGTGGCTAAGCCAGATCGTTGTTAAGTGAATCCTGCCCTGATTTATGATGTTTCTTGCCACAGAGAATAGACGAGAATAGAATAAACCCCTGACGAATGGGAAGGAAAGAAGGAAGGAAGGAAGGAAGGAAGGAAGGAAGGAAGGAAGGAAGGAAGGAAGGAAGGAAGGTAGGTAGGAAGGAAGGAAGCAAGGAAGCAAGGATAACTGAGTTGGAAGGGACCTCGGAGGTCTTCTAGTCCAACCCTGGCAGGAAACCCTACACCCGTGATGACAAACCTATAGCACCTGTGGCTGCAGGTAAACTTACCTCACTGCTCATGCGTGCACCTCACAGCTGATTTTTCTGCCGGTTTGAAAAGCTTGAGGAAGGCTTCTGCAGGCTTTGCAGGCCGAAAAACAAGCCCCATTTCGTCACTTCCGGTATTTCCGGGGAAAATAGAAAGTGACGAAACGGGGCTAGTTTTTAGCCTGCAGAAGCCTTCCTCGAGCCTTTGGGAGGCTGAAAAAGGCCTCAAACCGGCCGAAAAAAATCATCTGTGAGGCACAGGGCAGGTAACGGGGCGGTGGGTGAGGATTGCGTGCGCATGCATAGGGGGCGTGGGGGGGGGCACACTGCCTTCTAGGTGCTGACGCACGAGCGCAAGCGTGCACACCGTTTTTGGCACAGGAGTCCCAAAAGGTGCCCTACACCATTTCAGACAAGCGGTTGTCCGATCTCCTGAGTGAAACCGTGCAGCAGTTAGTAACCTGGTTGTTAAGTGAATCTGGCTTCGCTCTTGCTACCCAGAAGGTCCCCAAAGTGAAAATCCCTGTGACGCCGGGAGACTGCAACCGCCCTGAATATAAGCCAGGCCTCCAGATTTTGATCCCATGACCGTGGGAATGCCGCAACAGTCGTAACTGCGAGAACGGTCACAAGTCCCTTGATTTGTCATAACTTCGATATAACGATTCTTAAGTGAACGGTTGTAAGTGGAGGACTCTCCGGGGGCTGTGAGTCCTGGATGAGAAAAAGGATAAAGGACCGAGGCTGGAATCCTGCGATGTCAATATGAAAAATCTTTAAGTCAGTAGCTCCGCAACGAAGGGGAACTTAAAACTCCTACTAACTACCCCGTTTTCCTGAAAATATGACCTGCCTTGAAAGTAAGTCCTAGCTTGGTTTTTAATACCTGCGCCCAAAAATAAGCCCTACCTCCGACTTAAGATCGCGCCCACTCCAGATTGGATGAGTAAAAAATTAAGCTAGGGTGGGGATCGGGTGGTGGTAGAGCGGCCCTACTACTAACCTTTGGACAGGGTCTTATTTTCGGGGAATCCTGGTATAAAAATAAGTGCTTGCGCACGCACACACGTGCACGCACACACACACACACTCTCAAACACACAGAGAGAAATGCAATTGCTTGCTAGCTCCCCAGAGGCCTCTCTGGCAACAGGTGGGTCAGCGTAACCTAATTGGCTTTGCTAAATCAGTTTTAGGCAGGGATAATTCGGCGCACGATCACGGCTGCGGGACGACGCCCGCAGATGGAAACGGTGCCCGGCGTCCGACGACTGAACAGCCAAGGGCGGATTTCCAGGAACGGCCCGGACCGAGGTGGATTTCTAAGGATGTCTCTTCTTCCTGCAAGGTGGGGGGGAGGAGATGATATTCCCAGGAAAAGCGGGGAAGGATTGAAATCAGGGGCTTCTTTTGATGCTGGGAGTTGGGAGTCCAACTTCTGCAACCAATTTGAGTCACCATACTCCAAAAAATAAAAAAGATGTTGAGATTTTGGAAAAAGTGCAGAGAAGAGGCAACTGAGATGGATCAAAGCCCTGGACACTAAAACATAGGAAGAACGGTTGCAGGAAGTGGATATGGCCGGTCTAGAGTAAAGAAGGACGAGGGGAGGGGCATGATAGCAGCCTTCCAGTATTTGAGGGGCTGTCCCCAAAGAAGAGGGAGTCAAGCTATTCTCCAAAGCCCCTGAAGGCTGGAGGAGAAGCAACGGATGGAAACTAACCCAGGAGAGAAGCAACCTGGAATTAAGGAGAAACTTCCTAAGAGTGAGGACAATGAACCGGTGGAGCAGCTGGCCACTAGAAGTTGTGGGTGCTTCCATCACTGGAGGCCTTTAAGAAGATGATAACAGATAATCAGGGAACCTGATAGGTCATCTAGTCCAACCCCCGCCCAAGCGGTAGACCCCCCCACACACCATTTCTAAAAAAAATGGCAGTCCAATCTCTTCTCGACAAACATTTGTTTGAACTGGCATAGGGTTTCCTGCTTTAGCAGGGGTTGGACTAGTGGACCTCCAAGGTTCCTTCCAACTCACTTGTTCTGCTATCCTTCCTTCCTTCCTTCCTTCCTTCCTTCCTTCCTTCCTCCCTTCCCTTCCCTCTCAATCTCTGGAGGCTTTTAAGAAGAGATTGGACAATCATTTGTCTGAAATGATGTAGGGTCTCCTGCTGGAGGAATTGGGCTAG